GAGCACAAAAAGGCAAAATGCCACAGTCACTGAAAAGCCAAAAAAAAGTCACTGTCTCCGAGTACCATAGGTAAACAGGGAATTACAAAATATTACTCTACAGAGGAATAAATCACAGATCAGGGGACCCAGGCTAGGAGGCAAATGGGATTTCTGCAGATACTTAATGACCGTGTAGGACAGAGTTATCACCATTTTACAAATAGAGGTGTAGAGGGATTAAGCAATGAACTCACAGGAGAGAGGGAGGGCGAACTGGTAGGATCTCAAGTACAAGGCATGGAGAACACTAACGTGGGGAGGTCAGTCTCACCTCCTAATATTTTTCCTGGGACTCTTGGGATTTTTTGCTTCCTCCATCTTTCCATTCCTCCGGGGAATCATTCAAAGGAAATCCTCCTTTCTTCACTGTCTTCTCCAGAGATTGAATCTTGGCCCAGGAGAAAGGAAATGGAAAATGGCTCTGGGCCATCTCATTTGTGAGCTGGAAGGCGGACATCCCAGCAGGAGCTGTCTCAGCCTCCCTAATTGGGATTGGAGTCATGCAACCCTGCCTGGCCTCTCAAGCTGATTATAGGCCACTTCCTCTGAGTTGACTGACTTATTTTAATTCTGTGTTAGGAAATCTCCCTTATTTGAATTTGCGGCTCCATTTGGGGGTCAGAGAATTTGTCAGGTTAGCAAAGTTTATGCCTGGAACGTTCTCAGCTTTCTTTTCATTACTACAGAATACCCCTATGGAACATCTTCCCCACCAATCCCCATTCCCCATCCCACAAGAATCAGATCTCAGGGGCTGGAGGAGATAGCAGCCTTGTATGTCACCTCTTCTGGGAGGTAAACGAATCTGTGATATAATGAAAAACATTGGTCCTTGGAGTTAAAAGACCCAGATTATAAGAGTGGAGAGATTCCCCCTGGCACTGGGTGGATTCTACTAGAGAGGGATTGCTTATTCTCCATGAAGGTTTAAAGCAACGCTGGCTGAGTCTCCACTGCCAACCTTAATTCTCTTTTTGCATTCCCAGAGCTGAGTGAGTTGAATTGTTATTGTCACCAACTCATTCCCAAATAGCACCCCTACTCTAACACTTTCATAATAAGCCCGGCTGGAAATATGCATGCTGGGCCTGGTCTGGAAGAAAGGCCCACGTGAGCAGTGTCACTGGGCCTGGGTAGAGTGCTAGCTGGAAGTTCAGAGCAGCCAGTCTAGCTGCTCTTTTCACAATCCATCCATCAGGCACTGCCTAACTAATGTCCACGTCAAGTCTTCCTGGGACTCCTGCTGTCCTGCAGCATGGACAGGCTGGATGGCCATCAAATCTATTCCCTTTTCCCCTGGGCACTTGCCTGAACCATGTTTGCCCCTGGCATCTACGTGGAGGCACGGGCTTGGACACAGGTGCTGTGTGTGCTTCCTAAAACGTCTCTGTAATCCTCCACAGTCCCCCTTTGCTCCGTGGGCCTTTGAATGGAGGCAACGTAGAGGAGGACTCCGGGTCCCTGGAGAATTCCCAGGCTCTAGGAAACAGTGAAGGCTCATGTTAGAAGGAGCTTGGATCCCTGAGTTGCCCTTGCCCCATGAGAGCTGCTCAACCAGGTACATTCACACTGGATGTTGAGTAAATGAGAAATAAATTTTTAACTTACCGTAACTAATCTCTGCCCCACTCAGAGTTTTCCACCCCAGTGGATCTTCCAAATTTATCCAATATCCTGCTTCCCAACTTATTTCCTCGCTTGACGGGAAAACAAACAAACAAACAAACAAAAGAATATATCTTAGGAGTAGAAGCAAACACAGTTGCAAAAGCCACCCCAAGGGTCCCCTGAGCAGTGGGCTGCTTGCCAGCTCTGAGTAGGAATATCATTCCATTGGCACCCATCCCCAGCCTCTACTGTTTCTACTATGATGGGAAATAGAGTCACTAACTTCTAATTCTATTCATTTTAGGCAAAAATTAGCATAACCAATCAAATCATAAACCGGCCTCAAGTCCCCTGCAGCCTCTTTGACATAGGGAAGGGGTTGGAGGAAGGACTGTAAAGTATCTCCTTCCTGCAGAAACAATGTCCTTTCCCCACATACTCCCGAACCCATGGCCACTAAGAGGTGGCCAACCCTGAGCACCACTTTGCTGTCCTGATAGTGACAGAGGGTAGCACTGAGCCCTCACCCCTTCTCCCAGCATCCCTTCTAACCACAGTGTGTATCTGGGGTAAATGACACAATTGGGGGGATCAGGAAGGCTTAGGGTGTGGGTCAGGTTGTAACCAGGGGTAGGGTCAGACCCTAGTAAGCTTAAAGGTCAGACTAGGGCTACGGATCCCTTTGCAACTGAAAAATAGAATGAAAGTCCATGTTCTTCGTGGGGACAGATCCCAAGAAGTGACAGCACGTTTGCCTGTGACATGCATGATTTTGTACCTCCTCCTCTGCTATTCAGAGGCGAGAAGGTACTGGAAGAGTCTGGATTTGCATTTTCTTTTAGGATGGAACTGAAGATCATCTCCAGGACCCAGCTATCAAACCCGAAGAGCTCTTTTGTCCACAGCAATGGAAAGGCTTTCCTCCTGACTCTCCCAGGTGGCACTCCCTGCCATTTGAATGTGAGCCTCGGATGGCAAGGACTCGGCTTTGTTCAACATCATGTCCCCAGTGCCAGGAACAGTTCCTGGCATAAGCTGGGGCTTAGTTAACATGTGTTAAATGAATAATAAAGGTTGCCCAGTCTTGGTAGGGTGGAAGGGGACTGGGGGTGACCGACTCGTTCCCACAAACAGGATATCTGTCAGGACCGCCTTCATCAGCGAGCGTTTTCATGCAGCGTTCTGACTCTGAAATTGACAACCAGCTTCACCAGAGAGGAGCAGGTCCAGATCTCAAGCCCTTCATGACCTCTTGTAGCTCTCCTTCAAGCCTCCTCTTCAGGGGCTGGAGTTCAGTTTTATCAGCCGAGGAGTTAACTCAGTTGTAGGGTGAACCTTTCCTTTTCGTTTACTCTCACTCTAAAGGGGTCTCAGGAGGGAGAGGAGATAAACACAAGTGTTTAGTTTTCCATTTTAAATAGAAGCCATGCCACTGGGTCACAAAGAACCCAAAGGCCAGAGGGGTTTCCAGGCTTACCTTGCTTTTATTTCATCTCTGGTAAATTATCAAAGACCCAAGTAAAGATGGACGATGTAACAGGGAAACGTGGGAAGGGCCTTGGAAGAGCTATTTCTAAACTATGACTATAACAGCTTTGGCTTCTTGGGCTAGGAAAGAGGGTGTGGGGGTCAGGGGGTTACCCGTCTCTGCTTTTTCTCCAAAGCACCATCTCATCTAGGACTCGCAGACATCCTGCCCATGTCATCCACAGCCAGTGGGCACCAAGGCCGTGAGTCCTCCACCTCCTCCCAGACACCTCTCCAACAGGTTCTCATCTCCCTGGCCTGGCACAAGCCTTCCGCATCCTGCATGTACACAGTAATGCTACCCTCCCTGCAATTCCCCCCTTCCGTTCCACCTAGAGTGTCCAGCGTGGTGCCCACTCCGTGACAGCAGTTTGGTTAGTATTTTTATTTTGATCAAATGAATCATCGTTTTTTGTCTCTCCCTCCCCAGTCCTACCTAGTCAGCAAGAGGCTCCTCACACCCTCCCCTCCACCTTTGTCCACTGTTTCATACCAGCTCCACACTCCTTCTGCCCTCTGTGCTTTCTGTTCAAATCTTGCCCTACCAAGCCCCATTCAACTAACAAATGCAGGTAGCTCTCTGAGCCTTAACACATTAACTCATTTCACCTTAACGCCATTAAGTAGACACTACTCTTACCCTCATTTTACAGATGAGAAACTGAGGTACAAAGTCAAACAGCTAAAATGAGGTGGAGCCTAGATTTGGAGCCACACAGTCTGCACCCCCAACCCCCTCCTTTAACCATCCCTCCAAGTGCCCTTTCCCACCCTCCAGCACTTAAACCCTCCCTCCTCAGAAGGAGGCCACTTATTTACTGTGGCAAGGAAGTTTTATTCTGACATCTGATATGGAATAAAGTAACAGTGCAGAAGTTAGTATATGCAAACCAATGTGTCATGCGTGGTCAGGCTCCAAGGTCTGTCGCCATATAGTCTCTTGTTTCTTCGCCCATCCCAAGCCAGGACTGGCGTTTGACCCCTTCGGGGACTCTCTCCTCGCCACCGCACTGGACAGAGGTGTTCAAGACCCTCCCCTGTCCAGTGGCTGAGAGAAGGAAGGAGGTGCGACAGATCCATCCAGGCAGTCCCAGGAGGTGACTCGCCACGCCACTGCGCGGTTCAGTCTGCAGTCCGCGGATCCCGGACGCTTGCTGCTCTCTGGTGGCCAGAGCCGGGAGCCCGGGCACCCGGGAATCGCGCCTTCTACACTCCGCACACCCGAGAGCACCAGCAAGTGACCGAGAGGCTGGGGAAAGGGCGGGAGGAAGGGGGACGCAGCTGAGGGGAAAGGGAGCGGGACCGGGGAGGGACGCCGGAGGGATTGCGGAGCGGACCACGAGGAGAGAGGGTGGCCGTGGGTACCCGCGGCGAGGCCGGGGTGGCTGCCGCGAGCTAGAGTGAGCGGCAGTGCCCCACATTCTCCGGACCCCAGAACGCCCGCTTGCCAGGAGCTCACAGCCCGTAACCCCGGCGAGTGTGGTGTCCCCTCCTTCCGGCGTCGGCCGCCCCCTCTCCTTCCCCGCGCCGCCCCTCCTCCGTCCCGCCCCCCGCGCCCAGTTGCGAGCGCCGCAGTGGCCGCCGCCTGCACCGCCCGGGCCGGGAGCCGCGGCTGTACCCGCTCGCCTAGGCGCTCAGAGCGGCGCGCGCTGGCGGCCCGGCTCTCCTGTCCGACCCACGCCGGCCCCGGCGCGGCCCCTGCCGCCCCTCTCCGTTGGCGGCCAGCTGCGCTCCGCGACACGGGAACTTGAGCAGGACTCCGACGGTACCGGCGCGCGGGGCTGGACCGGAGCCCTGCGGCTATGCCCGGTATCCTCCTCCCTGACAGTCACTTGTCCTGCGCCCGGGCCCGGCCCCGGCCCCCGACGGCCGCGCGTTGAGATGACTTTCCGCGATCTGCTGAGCGTCAGTTTCGAGGGACCCCGCCCGGACAGCAGCGCCGCAGGCTCCAGCGCGGGCGGCGGAGGGGGCGGTGCGGGTGGCGCAGCCGCCTCGGAGGGCCCGGCGGTGGGCGGCGTGCCGGGGGCCGCGGGCGGCGGCGGCGGCGGCGGCGGCGTGGTGGGTGCGGGCAGTGGCGAGGACAACCGGAGCTCCGCGGGGGAGCCGGGGGCCGCGGGGGCCGGCGGCGAGGTGAACGGCACGGCGGCCGTCGGGGGTCTGGTGGTGAGCGCGCAGGGTGTGGGCGTGGGCGTCTTCCTGGCCGCCTTCATCCTCCTGGCCGTGGCGGGCAACCTGCTTGTCATCCTCTCGGTGGCCTGCAACCGCCACCTTCAGACGGTCACCAACTATTTCATTGTGAACCTGGCCGTGGCCGACCTGCTGCTGAGTACCACGGTGCTGCCTTTCTCGGCCACCATGGAGGTTCTGGGCTTCTGGGCCTTCGGCCGGGTATTCTGCGACGTGTGGGCCGCGGTGGACGTGCTGTGCTGCACGGCCTCCATTCTCAGCCTCTGCACCATCTCGGTGGACCGGTACGTGGGCGTGCGCCACTCACTCAAGTACCCCACCATCATGACCGAGCGCAAGGCGGCCGCCATCCTGGCGATGCTCTGGGCGGTAGCCCTTGTGGTGTCCGTGGGGCCTCTGCTGGGCTGGAAGGAGCCGGTGCCCCCTGATGAGCGCTTTTGCAGCATCACTGAGGAGGTGGGCTACGCCATCTTTTCCTCCGTGTGCTCCTTCTACCTGCCCATGGCCGTCATCATAATCATGTACTGCCGCGTGTACGTTGTAGCGCGCAGCACCACGCGCAGCCTCGAGGCAGGCGTCAAGCGGGAGCGGGGCAAGGCCTCCGAGGTGGTGCTGCGCATCCACTGTCGCGGCAACGCCTCGGGTACAGACGGAGCGCACCGAGGGATGCGCAGCGCCAAGGGCCACACCTTCCGCAGCTCGCTTTCGGTGCGCCTGCTCAAGTTCTCCCGCGAGAAGAAGGCGGCCAAGACGCTGGCCATCGTCGTGGGGGTCTTCGTGCTCTGCTGGTTCCCCTTCTTCTTCGTCCTGCCACTTGGTGAGTGACCCCTCTCCCACCAGCCCCTTCCCTTCCTTCCTGAGCCTGTAGCTGTGCCTTCCTGGCACTCAGGCCTGGGTGGTCCTCCCAGATCTCCACCTGAACATGGAAGGTGGACTTCGCTACCTCCCTGGTTTCTTAGATGCGTGGCTCAGCTTTGTGAGGGACAAACAAGAGGCTCTGCGAGCTTGTAGGATGTGTTTCTCAGGCTTCTCACTTTTCTGTCCACCAACCCCCCTCCATTGCCTGCGCTTGTGTTACACTCTGGGCCCCCCTAAATATAAAAGGTCTATGGAAATCTGTATAGGCATCTGCCCATAGTATGTAATCAGTAGTGTATGTGCTCGCCTACATATTAACACACACACACACACACACACACACAGATATACATGGCAACTCCCAGTGGTGGGCACACAGGGTGGGCCTACATTGATTCATGGGCAGCAAGCCCGGGCCAGTCAACAAGTACAGCAACAGGCACCAGAAGCCACCTGCTTCCTCCCAGCCCTCATTCAGCTTGAAGCCGGCCCCACTGGAGACCCTCCCCAGCGAGTATCTGTGGAGGCCCTGGGCTCTAACTTCTGCGATCTCCTCTTGGGATTGGGGGAGGGGCTGTGTGTGGATAAGAAGGAAAGGGAAAGAGGCAGATTATCAAAAGGAAAGTTAATGTTGTTCATCGTCTTGCTTGAATTCACTGAGTCCTTCAGCACTTCCAGAAAACTCTCCTATTTCTTCCACAAGGGTCCCTGCAGTCCTGAAGGTGGGCAGCTGTTCTCAGGGGCTTCCTCCCCCACCTGAGGGCCCTCCTGGGAGCCTTGGGGCTGGGTCAGCACAGGGAGGAGAAGGAGAATAGCATTTCTGGGGACAAATTTACCCTGAGTCATTTCGCCTATGGCTGCAGCCTCAGCAGGCCCAAGCCTTCCCAGGCCTGCTCCTTCCACACTCTGCATCTGAGTCAGGAAAGGGGTAATGGCCTTCCTCCTGCTCCCCTGCAGGCTCTCTTCACACAGCGGCCAGAACAGTCTTTATACCTTATAAATTAGAGTATCACTCTCCACGAAAATCCCTCGATGCTTTCTCACTGCCTTGGGAACAAAATCCAAACTCTCCACTGTGGCCTATGAGAAGGTGACCTTCAAATTTATTACTATCCAAACCAAAATGAGACACTAGGAATATTTATGCTTGAACCACAGGCATGAACCAGAACACTGGGGACAAACCCAGACGTGGGGTCCCCCTCCTGTAAGGAGGGCCCCATGTGATGGGCTGCCTCCTCTCTGGACTCATGGCTTGGTGCTTTGGCCCCTCTGATCTTCTTTGGGTTCCTTGCCCACATCCCTCTGCCCTTGCATTTGCTCTTGCCTCTGTCTGGCCTGCCCTCCCCCATCCCCTCCTGGCTAACTCCCCATCCTTTAGGTCTCTGCATACATGTCCCCTCTTCAGAGAAGCCTTCCCAGCTGCCTCGGTCTCAGCGTGTCTGCATGTTCTCCCTCGAGGCACAGGCTCTCTTCCTTTACTAGCTGCTCAGCTGTAATCACATCTGTGTGTAATCACATTAGTTTAGTGTCTGATTCCCCCACTGCCCCAGAAGCTCTGCAAGGGCAGGGCGGTGCTAGTTGTGTCGCCACCGAAATCCACAGCACCCAGCACAGTGCCTGGCATATGAAGAGCAATAGAGCACAGCAGCAAGCACCACAGGCTCTGGCACCAGATAGCCTGGGTTCGAACCCCAGCTCTGCTTCTTACTTTGTAACTTCTGGCAAATCCAAGAACCTCTCTGTGCCTCTTTTCTCATGTACAAAATAGGAATGGTGGTGATGGTTATAATGACAACCTATAGGGGTGTTTTAAGACTTCAGTGAGATATTGTGTGACTGTAACATGGTTAGTGCCATGTGAGCTGTTGCTTTTGTAGAAGATGCTCAATACAAGATAAGAAATGAATAAATCACAGACTTGCAAACCACTCAGCTAGAGACCATTGTGGGCTAGGGGGAGGGATGAAGGGGCAGGGGGAGGCAAATAGGCAGGCAAGAGAAAGTCTGTGTGCCTCTCTTTAGAAACCCACCCACCTACCCAGTATTTAGAACCACCCCCCCTCAGCCCACCACCCAGGCTCCTTGCCCTGCCAACCAACACCTGCTCCGGCCTTACCCAACTATGCCCTGTCATCCCAGGTGACCTCATTCTCCCCCTGCCCCTTGGTTCACACCAGACCCCTGTAGGAAATGATCAACCTGTGTGTAGAATGCTACCTCCCTTTGGTCTTTCAACTTCTTTTCAAATTTCTAGTTGCAGAATAATGCAAAAATTAGAAGAAAATAATACAGCAAGTGCCCATGTACCCGTAATCACCTATATGGAATAGATGTTCACATTTTGCCATATTTGCCTCAGATCCCTTTTTTCAAAGAAATAGAACACAGCCGCGACTAAGTTTCCTTCCCCTGGCCTTTTTTTCTCTCTCCTGCCCCAAAGGTAAATCTGTTATTTATCACTCCCACACATGTTTATATTCTTCCCACAAATATCTGTATCCATAATAACATAGAGTATTGTTTTGTGTCTTCAGGGTTTATGTAAATTGCACCATGCCTTGTGTACCAATCTTCAGTTTGCCTTTTTCACCCACTGTTGTGTCGTTGAAATGTATCCATATCCACATGGTTCATTTTAGCAGCAGTATGGGGCTCTGTGTTGATGCAGTCTCCTGCTAAGTGTTCCCTGTTTCTAATTTCTCGCTGTTACAATTAACACTGCAAAAAAGCTACTGTTTTCTGAGGCCTCTCTTCCAGGAAGTCATCCCTAAATTTCCATGGCCTTTACCCCTGGCTGGTACACACCGCTCTTTCTCAATCTCTCCATCTCTGCTGTTCCTCACTCCTGGCGTGGGGGCCGGTGTCCTTGTCTCCTCCTTTCTACTCCACCGCGCTGTGCCCAGCCTCCCAGGGCACGTCACTGAGCCCCAGAGCAGAGCCACGGCCGCTGATGAGTTGAACTGGGTGGAATCTGGCAATAGTGAACAAGCACGACAGAGGCCAAGCAGGGACACAGAATATTCCAATCGGCATGATGTGGCTCGGAGGGTGGATCAACAGACAGAACAGGAGGATAGAGCCGGAGGTGGAGGAAAGAGTGGCCTGAGGGCTATGCAGGAGGGGGGGCCAGGAGGTCCTGACAGCCCAGCCCTGGGGCCAGGCCTGGGAGGAGGAAGGCACCTTGGAAGGAACAGGGAACATTCTGAGCAGCAACTTTGGGGAGTGGGGAATGTGGCATCCGGGGGGGTGGCATATCTAGGTGGGAGGTACCAGTATATGGTGGGGCGTGGAGAGCATTGGCAACTTAGATAAGGGGGCCAAGGATGAGAGTAGTTGCAGAAGTAGGAGTGTGGGGTACGGTCTCCCAGAAAGAGGGTGCAGGGGCAAAAAAAAGAGAGGGGCTGGGGACAGCCTGAGGGAGGTCCCACTGTGAGGAAATCAGGAGGAGGCAGAGAAGGGAGAAGCCAGGAGGAGCAACACCTTTGAGCTCCCAGGCCCTGGTCCCCACACCAAGTGCAAGGAGCAGCAGAGATGGAGGGGTTGAAAAAGAGCAGTGGGGCCCCGGCCGGTTTGGCTCAGCGGTTAGAGCGTCGGCCTGCGGTCCGGAGAGACCCTGGTTCGGTTCCCGCTAAGGGCACGTACTTCGGTTGCAGTTTGTCCCCGGCCCTGGTTGGTCGTGTGGGTGGCAGCCACTCGATGTGTCCCTTCACGTCGATGTTTCTCTCTCTCTCTCCCTTCCTCTCTCTCCCTCCCACTCTATCTGTACAAAAGATGGAAGAGTATCCTCGGGTGAGGATTAAAAAAAAAAAAGAAAGAAAAAAAGAAAAAGAGCAGTGGGTGCCAGCAAGGGCCATAGGCCATGGAAATGAAGGCACCCAGTAGGGCCACAACCTAGGGGTTGTCAAACAGACCGAGGATGCTCCTTGCCCACACCTCCGAGCACAAAGCCAAGTGGAAGCTACAGCCACAGCCACAGCAGTGACATAGCCAGTGAGTGGCCCAACAGCCTGAGGACACTGAGAGCCTTAAGAAGGGAACCTGGGGTCCCAGAGGGACCTTGGCACAGGGGGAGGTTGACTGCCATTTATAAACCTGAAATGCTGTGGGTCAGGCCAGAGCAGCTGCAGAGAGAGATACCAGTGGGGTGTCCTGTGAACCATGGGGACTCTGGGGGCCTAGGTCAATGGCTAGGAGAGATTAGGACACGGAGACCAAGCACTTAAAATCCTGAGGGGCCTGCAGAGGTGATCGGGGTCATCCCCCACACCTCCAGCTGCCCCGTGTCCCCATGAGGAACAACTGCAGGGCATGTGGCAGGCAGCCAGGGGGCCAGCTCAATGAATTTGAGACATCACATGTCCGACCCTGCGATTTGGGGCAGCAAGCCCAGGGAGGGCAGCACCTGCCTTTCCAGGACACCTGGGAAGCTGTGTAAGGACACGAGAAGCACCACTCACACTAATAAGAGGGTACCCACCTGCCGGGTGGTTCATGCTGATGCCAGCTGTCTGCTCCATGCAGAGTGACCACGCATCCGGTTTGCCCAGGACATCCCTGGTTATGCCTGTTGACCCACAAGATTACTAGCAGTGCCCTCTTAATTCTCAGAGACATTCCAGTCTGGACAATAGAGTATATGGTCACCAGTCCTGGGAGGAAGGGCTCGTGGCAGCCCTGCCCATGACATATATGTGCCTCGTGCCCTCACTCCAGTCGAGTGTTGCAGAACTGAGTGCCTGAGAAAATCACAAGACGTTATGTAAAGGTCCCTTTTTACAAGGATTATGTAGCCTGGTGTCTAGAGGAGCCTAAACTTGCAGAGTGCACATGGGGAGGGGCATCCGTAGGGCCTGCTACCTGCAGACATCCATGGAGGACCCACAAAAAGGGGGGCTTGGCAGGGATGGAGCCGGCTGGACGTGCACCTGGTGAGAGCCTCTGCCCTGGACACTTAGT